AGCCTCAAACTGTTCATTCGGGTTCTTGATGAAGAAGTCTGACCATCTCGTAGGTGGGTGGCCATGCATTCTTTTGAAGTCATGTGGAATCCAGTCAGTAACAGCTCAGTCCAGCGGTCGTCTTCAAATTGCATTACGTGTCCAGCCCATCTGATTTTCGATGCCTTGTCAAATGAGACAGCATCCCTGATTGTTGATCGTCAACGGAGGTTGGAACTCCGGATTCCATCTCTCAATTGAGTGAAGCGTGATACTCCAAGCATAACTCTTTAGATTCCTCTTTGGGAGACCCAAATAGCGTTCTTATCCTGTTTTTGTAGGACCCAGGTTTCAGAGGTGTATGTTAGTGCAGGAAGAATGGCAGAGTCGAAGAGATGTGCCTGGAGCCACAGTTTCTTTATCCTCTTAGATATTTTTCGACAATATTGAAGATGTTCCACGCTGCTCTCTTCCTTCTGTGCAGCTCAGGTTCCAGGTCGTTCATCATGTTGAGTTCTCGACCTAGGTACACATAACTGCTGCATTCGGAGATGTTCGTTCTGTTGATAGCAAATGGAATGTCAGGAACTAGTCCGTTTTTCATGAACATTGTCTTGGTGACATTCAGTTGCAGTCTGACCTTTCCAAACTCATGGTCGAAGTCGGCCAGCATTCTTGCCGCTTGGCTAATGTTTGGTGTTATTGGAACGATATCATCAGCAAAGCAGAGGTGGTGTAGTTGCCTGACCTGTCTATCTTCACTCTCATTCCTTCCCATTCCAGTCATCGCATGATATTCTTGAGGGTGCCACTTAAGAGTTTCGGTGAAATGGTATCACCCTGCCGAACCCCTCTCTTGACATTGATGATCACTTATTTGTAGAATGGTGAGATCCTGGTGGTGAATCTATAATACAGCTCACAGAGGATCCTGATCTATTGAGTTTGAATGTCCTGTTTGGCTAGGGCTTGGTGACCGCTTCCGTCTCAACAGAATCAAAGGCCTTCTTTAAATCGATGAACATTAGATAGAGCAGCTTCTTGAACTCCCAAGAAACCTAAATAAGTTTGGTCACTGTGTGGATATGGTCGATTGTGCTGAATTCTTTTCTGAACCTGGATTGCTCACATGATTGTCCTTCATCTAGTGTTCTGCCAATCCTATTCAGGATGAATCACGTGAACAGCTTGTAGACTTCAGACAACAGGCAGATCTGGCGATAGTTGCCATTGTTGTGTATGTCTCCCTTCTAGTACAGTAGAACAGTCCTGCTGGCTTGTCGTGAGCCTCAGGCAACCACAAGCTAATGTCTGAGCTCACAAAGCAGTGCTGAGAAGCAATAACGGAAGACCTCATAGAGAGAAGACCAGCAGTGTTAGCTGATGTGCCAGAAGCCAGGAAAAGTATTCGCAATGCCCGCCTATCCTTCACCAACTACAAGACCAAGATGACTGCCCTCCGATGTCCTGATGGAGCTATCACATCTTCCATAAGGGCAATGGGGAAGATTATCCATGACTTCTACTTGGATCTCTTCAATAGCCATTTCCACCTGCCCACATACTAAATTCCGCACTATGGATATGTTGTTCCCAACGTTCTCCATTCTGAAATTCGACATGCCATTTTGTCGGTAAAGAAGCGAACAGTACCCGGCCCAGACAAGGTCAGACCCGAACACCTGAAGAATCTGCCATCAATACTCATCAATCCACTGGTTCAGCTCTTCACATGCTACCTGTAAAAAGATAACATGTTATATAATTGGAATTAAGCAAAGATATTTAGGAAATCATGCTTTTTTCACTCAGGGAGTCATTAAGTTCAATATCAGTGTCACACTAGTAGGGTAATCAATTCTTGAGTACTCATAATCACATTTCTTTATGATTTATCCAAATAATATATATAAGATTTTAAAAGGTCTGTCTCTTATTATAATGATAGAATGGATTATAATTAAGCTAATTTATCCTATTTTACTCATGCTACCAACTTCAACAATAATATTTACTTTTCCAAATATCTACAAAGATTAATTTGAAAGAAAAATTTGTTTAAGTGTTTTCTCACCACAGAGCTTTTTTATATAATGTAGCAATCTTTTCTATGCTAAGGAGCATGTATGCTACCTTGATAGAAAGAATACTAAATATAAGCTGGCAGTTAATGATTTGAGTGTTATTCTTTGCATCTCCAGAAGAAGACATTTTAAATTCAGAACAAATTTCATAGAAAATTAGTATAATATAGTTTATACTTATACTATATATAATTGTTATATATAATCATATATAATTATATGATTATATATAATTATATATTATATATAATTATATATCAACGGGAGGGCCTTTTAAATCATATATATAATTGTCATATATATTATATATAATTGTTATATAAAGTATATAATTGTTTATTTTAACATCCTAGATGTAAAATACATGGATTCGTCATTTTTTTTAGTTATCCCAGTATTTTAATGAGTGTTTTGCTACCAAAAAGTACTCAACAACTATTTGAGAAAGACTAATGAATTATGGTTTCATGGTGATTTTTTTAGAAGATCTTAGTCTACAGAACGTGTCATACAGTCATATTGACAGGATAAACAGGATATACATACTTCTCTAAAGTAAGATATAAATTCTTTTATTTATCATGATTTTTAAATTTTAACATATGGATTTTCACTGAAGAAATTTTGAAAAAAATTGGTTTTGGATCCTGGGAAATGTATTTTCATTTCCACTTCTGGTGTTAAATTCTTGCAGATAAAGGGTCTGGCGTGATGTTATACTGGGTAGGGGCACTTGCCTTGTATGCGGTTGACCCAGGTTTGACATTTGAAATCCTGTATGGTCCCCTGAGACCACCAGGGCTAATTCCTGAGAACAGAGTTTTGAGTCATCCATGAGTATCATCAATGTGGCCCACAAAGAAAAAAAATTTTCAACAATAAGGTATTGAATGATAATACTCAAAAGTTTCCTTTTATACAAGTAAAATCAGATTGGATTACTGAATAAGGTAAAGGTAAAGGCCCTCCCATTGATCGTCGATTTGCTCGAGCGGGCCCAGTAACGTCTCCATTGGAGACTTTGTTGTTACTGTGTTTGGCATATCGAATACTCTCGGTAGCTTGCCGGGCTCTCCGAGAGGGGCGGAGGAATCGAACTCGGCTCGGCCATGTTGGCCGCTTGTAAGGCGAACGCCCTACCCACTGTGCTATCGCTCCAGCCCGGTTTACTGAATATTACAGGGAATAATTTTGCGGAACATACTAATCATAGAACCATAGCACAAAAGGATTATTTAACATAGCACAAAAGTCCACATAAGAAAATAACAAAACATAGGAAGCTGTTAATGATTATTATGAAATACAACACAAACTGCAAATTTAAACACAGCAAAATAAAGTTTCAAATAGTTTTCATGGAACTTAAATATGGTGACAGGCATATATAAAACATCTTCACAATATAAAACACATGACAATGGTAAAGCGTATCTAATTACAAAGGCAATTCAGTTCCTGCCTCTGTGTTTTTTACCTTTAGAGCAGTAAAACAAAGGTTAGTTCACCAAAGAGCTTTTGAATTCTCATTGTCTCCCAGGTTTAGGCTAGTGGCAAAAGGCAAAAGGCACAGTCCCTGACAAACAGGAATATATATAATTTATAACATTTTATACCAGAGTGTGCATTTTTGTGTGTATTTGAGAATATTTGTACTGCATATCATCCAATGTGCATACAAATGATTTCAGTACACTATGTCAAATTATGACAGTGTGGTAACACTACATAGAGAAATTTAACCCTCTGTAGGGATGAGATGACAGAAGGTGGTAGAAACCTAAGCTGAATCTTCGGGATTAATATTAGGTAGAGAAAAGGATGACCCATGTTATCCTGCAAAAACAACAGTACGTCCACAAATAGCTCTGAAACCACAAATAGCTCTGAAAATAGGTGGTATAAGAGGTCCATTGTTGTGTAAAATTTTTAAATTATTTTGAAACTGTTGTAAAATAACTAATGAATTTCTAGGATGAAAAAAGTACACTCTTAATTCTTGTGAACCTGCCCCATCTTTTTTGCTTTAGTATTGTCAAAAAGCAGAATATTTTAAGTAAAGTTGTGGGTGGGGATGGGATATTGCTGACTTTGAAAATTATTATGAGCCCTAGGTTAATGTTTTTTGTCCAGAGACAATGTAAATACCCTCCTCAAAAGGAATCATTTTAATTTAAAAGGACTTGATTATTTATACGGTAGACAGAAAACCATATTTAAAATTAATAACCATATTCAAATCAGTAAAAGTGTACGACACAAAAGTGCCGGTCTTTTTTTCCTTCTATGAAGCAAGACTACTTATTGTAAATACATATCGTCGGAGAGACTGTTCAGAATTAACTAGAACAAAGAAAGGCAGTCTAAGAGTCCCATTCCTATTTTGGGGCCTTCACTGGAGAGAGCTAGGGAAAAGATAGGGACCTCAGTTTGAAAGTGTCAAAAATTTGCCCTGGGCGACAAAATGAGAGCACAAAGCCGCTAGTGAAACAGTTGTTTAGGCTGGATAGAAAATTTGGAGCTCCAGTGGCGTAATCAGTTAGGGCGTGGTACTTACACGGCAGCACGTGCAGAAAATTTTTTCGTTCACAGAGCATCCCCTTTTCAAATTTCATTATCTTCCTGGTCTAATAATTTTAACGGGGTACCCAGTACTTCCCACATTCATCTTTGCTGTCAAAATGAAAATCATACACAGTTTTTTAAACTCAAGTCTCCAACAAAATGCGTCAGCGTGCTTAGCCTGGAAAATAAACTGAATTTTGAAGGTTCACGTAAGTATTTAAAACGTAATGCTGTAGAGAGGCCCCGGCGGTCCTGGCACGGAAAAACTACAATACCCAGAATTCATTGTTCACCGTCTTCCTTCTACCAAGGTAATCGCTAACTTGATCAGATTGCCACAAGCGGCGGTCACATGACACGCTTCCTGTCAAGATGGCGGATAATCTCCCTTCGGAGTTTGATGTGATCGTAATAGGGACGGGTATGTGTGGTTGTGCTATTCTCCGGAGAAAAAATAGGAAGTCTGATTGCTGCTTTGTCAGTGGCGTGGGTTTGTGAGACATGGTGAGGGGCGACCTTACGAGAGAGGAGGGGAAGGAAGCGAGGTTGTCGAGTCAGCGCTGGACTTGGCAGCGCGGAGCAAAGGCTCGGCCTCCTGGTGCTTTATGCCTTTGGGGTAGGGGTTGATCGGCTCGATTCTTGAGGTTCGTCGCCGAGGGTGATTAGTATAACTTCTTTAAAGGGAGGCGGGTTTGCAGTGCCAAGGAGAATGTGCGGTTGGGGTTTTACCCATGAGACGCTTTTTCAAAGTGGTAGTACCCCATCATTTTGTCTCGCGGTTTCTTAGGAATTTTGTAAATGTTATTCTAGGTGGCATATAGGGCTGAGACAGATTAATCCTGTTTTGAAAGAAGAATACGCAGTTATTGCTCATGTTTGTGTATATTAAGGAGGAGCAGAGAAAGACTCTTTTCTGTTGGAAAGAAGGTAGTGATTCTTTTGTGCTGGAGAAGCCCAAGGTTTATTTTATTTGGTGATGAAGCTTTTGGTGCTGATAGGAATCATTTTGCTTTCGACTATCCCCCGTACACCTACAATAAAATAAGCTAGCCAGTGATCACGCTTTGATGAGTTCCAGTTAAGGTGTGTCTCCTGTTTTCCCGAGGTTTATTTCTCATGTATTGGACGAAATCAGAAACTCGTCGCTCCTCCCCGCCAATTTCTAGTGGACAGATTATACATACTGCAGGTGGCAGACGATTTAGCAGGCGTTGGTGCTTTGTTTTTCTTAACAGTGTAAAGATTGGGCTTAAAAATGGGCACAATAGGTTTCTGAGTGAGGTTTTCTCCTCTTTGCAAAATGTGTAGGTTGAGTAAGTGAAAATCCAAAGTAGGATTATTCTGATTTTATGTAATTTGGACTAAAATACTATTGATTATAGAAATCAAACCTTGAATTTGCTTCATCAGCTGCATTTCTGACAGTGTTGACTGCAAAATGGAAATAATTAACATGCATGCCCAAAAGTAATAGCTAATTTGGGTCAAAGAAAGGAGAATGATTCTGTTATTGTTTGCTGTTTGAGTTAACATCTGGTAAAGTGTATTTTTTGAGTAGTATTTAGATGAAAATTTAGTGTTTCTAAATTGCATTTCTGAAAAATAAAAAGAGGCTGGGACGATGTTACAGTAGGTAAAGCAAGCGATGGTACAGCGGGTAGCACAGCTGACCCTGTTTAATCCTCGGTATTCCACATTGTCCCCCAAACTTGTCAGGAGGGATCCTTGAACGTAAAGCCAGGTGTAAACCCTGAACACCGCTGGGTGTGGTCCCCAAACAACAACAACCAAGAAGAGTAGATAGTCTTTCTAGAGCAAATACTTTCTTGTTAACATTTCTAAATTCCTATGTATTGACTGAAGAATCCAAGACTCAGCACATTTCTGATGTGACACACCTAGTTAAGCCTCAAAACTAAGATTCAGAACATCTGATTGAGAGAATCCTCACTACATTTTGTTTTTCTGTCCTTAAATCCTCATTCTCAGATTCGTGTCTGAATAGGAGATAGTCAGTTTACTGGGGAAATTTGAATTTGAGGTACTAACTTACCTTATGTTTGATAAGTTGTTTAACCTTTTGGAAGCCTTCTTCTTACACTGATAATACTTCACTCCTCCAAGGATTATGAGATGATATTTGATGTTTCAGTATTTGATCATTTGATAAGCCTGGATTTTGGTGATAATAATTTTTTTTTGCTTTTTTGGGTCACACCCTGCGATGCTCAGGGATCATTCCTGACTCTGTGCTCAGGAATTACTCCTGCCTTTGCACGGGGGACCGATGCCGGGGATCGAATGCAGGTCAGCTGTGTGCAAAGCAAATGCCCTTTCCGCTGTGCTATCGCTCTGGCCCTGGTGATGATAATTTTTTGTGCTGTTACTACTTTTCACTTTAACATATGATTTTATTTTGAGTGTTTTCCCTTACTGTCCCTGCTAGTTTTTGAAGCACCGTAGTGACTGCATTTAATTAAAAGGAAATGTTATTTCTTGTAGTAAAAAGGTCAAATAACCATTTTCATAGATTTTCGAAATTGTTGATTTAATTATTTTTCACTTTTTGAGTTACACGTGGTGGTGTTTAGAGATTATTCTCTGTTTGTATAGGGAGTTGCACATGGTGGTCCCTGTGGGACCATGGCTGTTTAGGGATTTAGCCAAGGCTTACTGCATGCACAGTATGCATTTGTTACTTTTACTCTGCGCTGTCTCTCTGACCCTAACCAAATTATTTCTTAAAATTGATATATGATTATTTGATATAGTATTAACATTAATGTTTTATGCATAAGATATTTCTTCTCCACATCTAACCTCAGACTTCAAAATTCCTTCACTTCTGTCCTCAAATTCTGTTCTCCCATTTCTTCCTTAGCAGATTCGTTTCTATAGGAAGAATATCAGGGTTTATTTTCATTGGCTATTGTTTACTTCTTTATTTTTTTTATACTGCACATGTTTGTGGGGACATTAAACAATACAATATTAACTGTATTGTTGCTGGAGTGATAGCATAGTGGTAAGGCATTTGCCTTGCACGCAGCCAGCCCGGCCGAGCTGGGTTCAATTCCTTCGCCCCTCATGGAGAACCCAGCAAGCTACCGAGTATCTCGCCCACACAGCAAAGCCTGGCAAGCTACCTGTGACGTGTTCAATATGCCAAACACAGTAACAAGAAGTCTCAAAATGAGACATTACTGGGCCCACTCAAGCAAAATTGATGAACAACGGGAGGACAATTAACTGTATGAAGAACTGTAAGGTAAAGGTAAAGGTAAAGGCCCTCCCGTTGATCGTCGATTTGCTCGAGCGGGCCCAGTAACGTCTCCATTGGAGACTTTGTTGTTACTGTGTTTGGCATATCGAATATTCTCGGTAGCTTGCCGGTCTCTCCGAGAGGGGCGGAGGAATCGAACTCGGCTCGGCCATGTTGGCCCCTTGTAAGGCGAACGCCCTACCCGCTGTGCTAGAACTGTATTGTCCTTAATTGTATAGAACTTTGCTTTGTTTCTCTTATTTCTTTCTATGCCACAAACACACGTTGTGCTTTGAATTATATACCAAATTTAGGTGAAAATTTCATAGTGGCTTATTTTCAGTATTGGTATTTAATGTCTATATTCATAAATTTGATCAGAAATTCTTTTTCTGTTTACTTATGTTTAATTTTTTGTGGAGTGTTTATTTTTGGGTCACACCCAATGGCTTACTCCTGGCTCTGTGCTCAGGGATCACTCCTGGTGGTGACTATATATGGTGTTGCAGATTGAATCCAGATATTGACCAAATATATTTCCAGAACACAGTAACAACAAAGTCTCCAATGGAGACGTTACTGGGCCCGCTCGAGCAAATCGATGAACAATGGGAGGACCGTGACAGTGACAGTTTACTTCTGAAAAATTAGTTACTCTGTGAGCGCAGTCGGAGTATTATTTTTTTGGGGGGGGTAGGGATTGAATATGTAAATTGCTTCTACATGCATTTAGCTTTTTTGATGAACATTATGATCAAGATAATAGTTTCTTTTTATTGAAATCCATAATGCTAATATTTGGTTTAAAGTTTTACCCCTCAAATAGTGGTGTTTCCTTTATATAAGAGGATTGAGGTATTTTGTGATTATAAAAGAATCAGTATTAATACTGTAGAATTGCACTGAGCTTTTAGTACATGTTATTTTTAGAAAAGACATTAATATCCTTTATTAAAATGAGAAATCTTGATAAAAGTTATGGAAGAATTTTTTCTTTTTTGCTTTTTGGGTGACACCCGGCGATGCACAAGGGTTACTCCTGGCTCTGCACTCTGGAATTACCACTGGCAGTGCTCAGGGGACCATGTGGGATGCTGGGAATTGAACCTGGGTCAGCCGCAGGCAAGGCAAATGCCCTACCCTCTGTGCTATTGCTCCAGCCCTATGGAAGAATATTAAACTTACCTTTATTGACTGTTTATTGGCTGAAAGATATAGCTAAACACCATAATTTTGAAATTATAAAATTATTATATTTGATAATTTAATTTTTTTGTTAGTAATGGTGGTAGTATTTATTTTCTATTATGTTGACCCACTTTATCATGTGTATTTGGCTCCAAAGCACGATGTTTTGTTAGACTGCTGTTTTTTTAAAAAAATTAATTATTGAATCACTGTGAAATACAGTTACAAGCTTTCATGCTTGAGTTTCAATAATACAATGATAAAACACCCATCCCTCTACTAGTGCACATTCTCCACCACCAGTGTCCCTAGTATACTCCCCTTCTCAGCCCTCCCCCAGTATATTCACCCTTTCCAACCCTCCCCCTGCCTCCGTGGCAGACAATTTCCCCTATACTCTCTCTCTACTTTGGGGCATCATGGTCTACAATACAGATAGACTGCTGTTTTTATGAGAAAGTAAAATATTTTATAAATGGCCGTTTAAACTAGCTAACCTACTACTTGAATTAAAATGTGTTTACCATTCCCCCTGAGGCATAACTCTCAAAACTAGATTTGGATACAGAGTTCAGCTTTATAAATCAGTGAAACCTACTTAATTTAGAATATGTGGTTTTTCTTGTACAAGGTAACAAGTTAACATAGTAACACCTTAGTTTTTCTGTCATTTTAAAAATGTATATTTTATATATATCAGAGCCACTTAGATCTAGACTTAGTTATTGGGCATGTTTCCTAAATAATGAAGTACCTGTCTGCATAATATTTTGACAATGTTACTTTATAATCATTTGCAAATAAAAAAGATTTAAGTGCTTTCTTTTAAAAAAATCTTTTCCTATATGCTGTTTACCTGGTTTAATTCCCAGCACCATGTGATCTTCCTAACACTGCCAGGGGCCAGGGGTGACCCTGTAACCACAGAGTCAGAAATAGCCTGTGGATAACTTTGGATATAACCCAATTCCCCTATGTCTCCTCCCTCCAAAAAATCCGTTCCACATAATAAAATTTCTGTCACTGTCATCCCATTGTTGGGCGATTTACTTGAGCGGGCACCAGTAATGTCTCTATTCATCCTAGCCATGAGATTTTAGGAGCCTCTCCTTACTCGTCTTTCCCAACGATTGGAGGCTCTTTCATGGTCAAGGGAATGAGACCTGTTATGGTTACTGGTTTTGGCATATCGAATACACCACGGGGAGCTTGCCAGGTTCTGCCCATGCGGGCGGGATATTTACATACACATCAAATGGCATAATTTAAACTTTTAATTTTGGTATAAGGTTGAGCCTGTTTTGTTCAGTGCTTTTATACAAAATGACCTGAATTGCTCATTTCCTGTAACAAACATATATAGACATATGCCATGTATCTGTATATGTGTATGTGTGCATTAATGTGTGTGTTTCTTCATTCTAAAGGATATGATGTGTGTTTCTATAGGTTTGCCTGAGTCCATCGTTGCAGCTGCATGTTCAAGAAGTGGCCAGAGAGTTCTGCATGTTGATTCGTAAGTTTGGTAATAATAGTACTTCTGTCAATACTTCATGACTATCACTTTATAAAATTATGCTTTAAATACATAGCAGTGTGAACATGTGTGCATATGTCATATATAAAGAGAAGTAATTATAATTATTTATTTTTATGAAAGTGCGTTAAATATACAGCATGTAAATTTTAATATTCTGTGAAACGATGTTTATTATGAAAAGAGTAAACCAGATTTAACATAATTTTATTTTTATGAATGACTATGTTTTACATGATAAAGAATTTTCTATGTGGCTTGGGATCCTCACACCTAACCTTTTCCTTATATATTTGAATGAATATATAGAACCTTATATACTGTTGCACTTTAAGTTTTACTTATTCAAGTGTTGGAAAAATCAGCTACTTGATTGGAATATGTGGTTTTCTTAAAATTCATCAAACTTTGAAACATGAAAAGATCTTAATTTAAATAAATCTAGATTTTTTCATTAATGTGATATCAAGCTTCCAGGGGAATGAGGCCTGTTATTGTTACAGTTTTTGGCATATCAAATATGCTGCGGGTAGCTTGCCAGACTCTGCCATGTGGACGGGATACTCTTGGTAGCTTTCCGGGCTCTCTGAGAGGAACGGAGGCTTTTGGGGCAGCCTCTAATTGCTTTTACAGGTGTTCCCATTCTACCAAAAGCAAGCTTTTGATCGACTGGTGGGCCGCATGATCTGCTTTCTTCCAGGAGCTTTATTTTATAGTCTCTGGATCTTGGCTGAGTTGTTACTGGCGCCCGCTTGAGCAAATCGATGATCAATGGGATGAAAAGTGACAAGTAACAATGTGATATCAAGCAAAGAATTACTAGAAAATTTAAGTTTAAAGTAATGGAGGTGGAACAATAGTATAGCAGGTAGGGCACTTGCCTTGTTCTAGGTTAAATTGAGTTGGATTCTGGCACCACATATGGTGCCTTGATCCTTTCCATTAGTGATCCCTGTGCATGGAACCAGGAGTAAAACCTGTGCACTGCTGGATGTTGCCCAAAAACCAAGGGGACAAAAGATAAAGCATGGTTTTAATTCACCTAGTTACTGTTTCCAAAACTACCCTCTACTTGTCTATTTAGTGCCTTTGGCCTGAATTGCTCATTTCCTGTAACAAACATATATAGACATATGCCATGTATCTGTATATGTGTATGTGTGCATTAATGTGTGTGTTTCTTCATTCTAAAGGATATGTACTACAGTCTAATTTATTGGTACTAGAAAGGAAATACAGTACCTCCCGTCAACATTTTTCTCACGATTGCTTTGACTATTCGTGGAATTTTGTGATTCCGTAGTAATGATAGTAGTTTGTTTTAGTTATTGAGGCATATAATAAGAATTTCTTATTTTTTTAATTTTGGTTCCACACACAGCAGTACTCAGGCATTACTCCTGACAGTACTTAGGGGACATAAAAATGTCATGGAGATCAGACTGTGGTCTGCCATATGAAGGCAAGCACCTGAAGACCTATACTGTCATAAGAGTCTTAATGGGGAATGCATCATTAGCTCTGTATAATGATTTGGATAGGATGGTCATGGTGACAATATTAATTTTTCCAATTCATGAGCATGGAATATTTTTTTCATTTCCTGATGTTGTTGGTGTGAAAGTAGATTTTCCTGCACTAGAAAGTTCCTGAGAATTCTACGAAAGATTGCATCCAAAACCCAGCAGATGAAAAGTTAGAGTTCACTGTACGTATAAAAAAAGTAAATAGGGCTGGGTCCCTCCCCAGATGTCCAGGGCTCTCTCTCTCTTTTTTTAATTGTTATTGAATTATCTTGAGATAGTTATAAGCTATCATATGTGGATTACAATCACTCAATGATCAAACACCCATCCCTCCACCAGTACACATTTCCCACCACCAATATCACCGGTATGCCCCCCTTTCCCACCCTCCCCCTGCCTCCATGGCAGACAATATTCCCCATCATCTCTACTTTTGGGCATTATGGTTTGCAATACAGACACTGAGAGGTTATCATGTTTGGTCCTTTATCTACTTTCTGCACACATCTCCCATCCCGACCAATTCCTCCAGCCATCATTTTCTTAGTGATCCTTTCTCTGTTCCATCTTCCTTCTCCCCTTTGCTCATGAGGCAGGCTTCCAGCTATGGAGCAATCTACCTGTACCGTGCATCTAATATCCTTATGTGTCAGCCTCATGTTTCGTTGTTTTATACCCCACAAATGAGTGCAGTCCTTCTATGTCTGTCTCTCTCTTTCTGACTCATTTCACTTAGCATGATACTCTCCATGTCTATCCATTTATAAGCAAAGTTCATAACTTCACCTCTCCTGACAGCTGCATAGTATACCATTTTTTAGATGTACCAAAGTTTCTTTAACCAGTCATCTGTTCTAGGGCACTTGGGTTGTTTCCAGATTTTGACTATTGTGAACAGTGCTGCAATGAACATATAGGTACAGATGTCATTTCTACTGTGCTTTTTTTCATCCTCGGAATATATTCTGAGAAGTGGTATTGTGGGGTCATATGGAAGCTCAATTTCTAGTATTTGAAGGACTGTCTATACTGTTTACAGAAAGGCTGGACTAGTGGGCATTCCCACCAACAGTGAAAGAGTGTCTCTTTTTCCCCATATCCACGCTAGCACTGTTTGCTTTTGTTCTTTTGAATGTGGGCCAGTCTCTGTGGTGTGAGATGATATCTCATTGTTGTTTTGATTTGCATCTCCCTGATGGCTAGTGATATGGAGCATTTTTTCATGTGCCTTTTGGCCATTTGTATTTCTTTTTTGAGGAAACTTCTATTCATTCCTTCTCCCCATTTTATGATGGGGTTGGAGGTTTTTTCTTGTACAATTCTACTAGTGTCTTGTATATCCTGTTTATTAATCCCTTATCAGATGGGTATTGGTTAAATATTCTATTTCATTCTGTGGGCTCTTTCTGAATTTTGGTCACTGTTTGTTTTGAAGTGCAGAAGGTTCTTAGTTTGATGTAGTCCCATTTGTTTATGTTTGTTTCCACTTGTATGGTCAGTGCTGTTTTATCCTTAAAGATGCTTTTAGCTTTAGTGTCGTGGAGCGTTCTGCCTACATTTTCCTCTATGTACCTTGTGAATTCATGCCTGATGTTGAGGTCTTTAATCCACTTTGTATATATACACTACTTTTGGACACTACTTCCACTACCCAGCTGTCGCCACACTCCAGGACGCTTTCCGGACACATCATAAGACACTAAATACCCATCTTCCGGAATTGTCGTACCATATTTGATAGGGTTCAAATATGGTAACACCTACAAGGGTGATTAGAGGTCGCCCCAAAAGCCTCTATCCCTCTCGGAAAGACGGGCAAGCTACCGAGAGTATTCCGCCCGCACGGAAGAGCCTGGCAAGCTATCCGCTGTGTATTCGATATGCCAAAACCAGTAACTACAACTGGTCTCATTCACCTGACCCTGACGGCTTCACCGACATGGCAGCACTGAGAAGGATGAGAAAGGAGAGGCCGACAAAATCTCAAGGCCGACCTAGGCTGCCACAACGAAGGAAGACAAAAATGATCGTCTGTACTTTCAATGCACGTACGCTAGCATCAGATGCATCCATTGAGGACCTGATGGTACAAGTGTGAATGATCAAGTATGACATCATTGGTCTGACCGAGACAAGAAGGCACGAATCTCACCATGCCGTTTTCGACACTGGAGAAGAATTGTTCCTCGGAACATGCGATAAAAGAGGTGTTGGAGGCGTCGGTGTCCTTGTCAACACAAACTTGGCCAAGAGCATTGATTCGTTCGAATGCCTAAAACCCGAATTGGACGTTTACATTTGAATAGATGTGGCTCACTGTCTGCAGTTTCTTTCTTCGTTGTCTATGCACCAACATCTCATTATGATGAAAGAGAAATCGAGAAGTTCTACATGGAGTTAGAGAAGTTCTATAAAGAAGACCACACCTTCTACAAGATCATTGTGGGTGATTTTAATTCCAAGATAGGACCGAGAAGATCAGCTGAAGAACTTCACATCGGGACCCATGGCCTAGAATGGAACGAACAGGGTGAGAGACTGTCTGAGTTCATCATGTCGACCAAGACCATTCATGGTAACTCACAGTTCCAGAAGGCAGAATCTAAACGATGGACATGGGAGTCTCCCGGTGGACGATTCCACAACGAAATAGACCACATCATATTCAATCGACAGTTTTGCCTGACTGATGTCGCTGTTGTCCCAAAATTTCAAATGGGATCGGACCACCCTCTCCTTCGTGCAAAATTCTACTTCACAGAGCGGGGAGAAAGGGCTGCAAAGTTCAAAAAGAGAACTCCCAGAATGACCACCAACTGGGAACTCTTTGGTACTATTGTGGCAACATGGGAAGATGCCATTGTTGACAACATTGATGAGGAATACGATCGACTGGTTCAGCACCTCCATGAATGTGCGAGGAACGCCAAGAGAGAGATAGCCACAAAAAATCGCCTATCTTCAAAAACTCTTGAGCTAATTCGCCAGCGTGGTTTGGCGCATGCCTCAGGCAACCGCAAGCTAACGTCCGAGCTCGCAAAGCAGTGCAGAGATGCGATCAAGGAAGACCTCAAAGAGAGAAGAGCAGAAGTACTGGCAGATGCGGCAGAAGCTGGGAAAAGTATTCGTAACACCCGCCTGTCCTTCGCCAACTATAAGACCAAGATGACTGCCCTCCGACGTCCTGATGGATCCATCACATCCTCCAGAATGGCAATGGAGAAGATTATCCATGACTTCTACTCAAATCTCTTCGATAGCCATGTCCACTTGCCGACATACCAAATTCCACAGGATGGATATGTCGTTCCCAACGTTCTCCCTTCCGAAATCCGACACGCCATTTCCTTGGTAAAGAAACAAACAGCACCCGGCCCAGACAAGTTTAGACCTGAACACCTGAAGAACCTGCCGTCAGTACTCATCAATACACTGGCTCGGCTCTTCACTCGC